GATCGGAATCCCGACATTATATTTATACGACCTCTATTTAAATTCAAATGAGAATATTTCAAACAATGAAAGGAGAATTTTTTATTCTAAGAACCTTAACTCTATGTTTGATATTTAATAAAGGAATAAAAATAATTTTTAAATAGTTCAACTACTTTGAATATAAGTAAGATCAAACTGGCTAACTTTTTCGCCTTTAGCTAATCTTTCTTATGTTCACCGGAATGATGGGTTACATAATCAACCTCCTCCTGCAATAATTTATAAATTAAATAGCTATATGCTTTACACTAGTCTTTTAGAATAACACAAACATTTTATGATTTTGACACGTGACAAGGGTAAAAATTCGTACATAAAATTGTACATAAAAGTACAATTACATTCAAAGATCAGATTCTTTTGAATTTAATCATATGTACTTTAAAATTTTTGGTCAACAAAAATTTCAAAAGTTGTCCTATTTTATTTATTTTCCCGCTTAATAAAATTACAAAATCTACGATTAATAAAGTCAATCAGTAAAATTTGTATGTACTCGGTTTTTTTATTGTATACACTTAGCATTTAATTAAACTTTAAAAAATAGGAAATATTTATGTTTAAGTCTCATATAATACGTATAACGTTCTAAAAGTTCTGTTTGGGTTTTTCTTGTATATTATTTATAATATAATAGAATATTAAGCATAAATCCATATTCCAGATTTATAAATTCTCATAAATATTTTTCTTTAGCACATTTATTTAATCCACCAACATTAAATAAATTTAAATATCAATTAAAACTAATATATCTATTTATTGTTAATTAACTGTTTTATATGAATTTTAAAAATCCCATTACTAACTAATACAGATAGAATATTTGAAACAGAAAATTATAAATTTATTTATAAAAATCACTTTATTAGTTTTCCTTTTCCCATGCTCCCCCTATTTTAAATGCTATAATCTTTTGTACAGTTTTTGTGATTATACAAGTGTTAAATGAATTTCGAGTCTTGTCTTAAAAATATCAAAATATTAGGCGGATTTAAATTTATTTACACTACAGTTCATTATATATTAAATTTGTTTCCGTTGATAAGGTATCAAAACAAAATTAAAAATTTTCAAAATATTTAAATTTAGATGACTAAATCCTTTATTATTTTCCTTTTAAATTTAATTATTCTATTGAATGTACAAAGTGAAGGAAAATTAATCAAGGTCGAACTGAAGATCAAAGATGATTGGGAAGAAAAAAGAGAATTTATTTATTTAAAAAATATTGAATTAAAGGAGCGTTTTGTTCTGAAACAAATTGAAAAAAGCAATAATCGGCATGAAACTAGCTATTATTTATCCTTTTCTATTAAAATTTTGGTTTTCTCTTCGTTGTAATTTTCTTTCTTTGTTTACACCCACAAGCATTACATAAATATTTTCCGGTTTCTGAATGTCGGCGCCATTGTATTGTTTGTGTATCTCCGCAAATAAAACATTTACGATCGACCTTAAATTAAATTGAGTGAAAAATTTATTTAAAGAATTCCGATAAGAATTATTAAAAATAGTTCCAAATATTGATAAAGAACCTTTTTAGTCTTAAACCATAATTTATTTGATCTAAACTTTCCATATTTGTGTTTATATACGCCACATTCTTTGCACAAGTAATGTTCATTTATTAAATTATACCATTGTTTTTTTTGTGTAACACTACAATTGAAACACTTTCGTTTATTTACTTCAATTATTCCACCTATATTTTCAAGGAAAATTTATTAGTTAAATGAAAAATAGACAAAGTTAAGCTTAATTACTTATTTTATTGCCAATATTAAAAATTCTGCTTTCTAATTCTTTCGGATATTCAATTTTTTGTTTTTCTAACAATTTAATTTTATATCCAATTAAATTAATTTCCGTCCAATAACTTGATAAAAGTTTGTTTTTATAGGATTCTATATTTTCTTTTAATAATTCTTTTATATTTGTATTTTCTAAACTTTCTTCTAATATCGAAGTTTCATAATTTTTATTATTTTTGATAAAATTGTTATTTAGGCGAATCTTAGATATATTAATTTATGAAGCTTAAATTTCGAATAAATAAATTTAAAATACCTGTTTTCCCAAGTTTTTCAAAAATTTCTTAACAATTTCATTATTGGCAATTTCAATCAATATTCTCATTTTTAATTGAGAGCTAAATTTATAATTCGTATTTATTTTAGTAATAAAAGCTTGATTAACAGGATCCATTTTAATTTTACAAAACGATCCAGTATTCTTATAAAGATAATCGACTATTCTATTATTTTGTTTTACATTCATTATCAATACAAAACGTTCCTTTATTTGAATATCTTTTAAATAAATAAATTCTCTTTTTTCTTCCCAATCTTCTTTTATTTTTAATCCAATCTCAAACATTTTACACTCTATTTGGATAATCAACAGAACAACCAAATATGCGAAAAGAATAATAATAATTTTTTTCATCTTAAATTTTAATATTAAAAATATATATAATATCAAATAAAAGTTTAAAATATTCAAAATTTTATTAAATTAATTTAAAAAATATTAAAATTTTATTAAAATTGAAAATTTTATTTTAAAAGTTTGAGTAATAAATGTCTTATTATAACTAGAGTACGTTTAATAAACTTAATACCTATAAACTTCAAAATTTTATCAGTCGTATTTGTATCGTACTAAAGAAAAGAAATATCATAGATACCGTGAAATATAACCGTAGTACGATACGGTCCGGTCTCTATTAAATAGAAGCAAAAAATAAGGAGAAATTTAGAGTAAGTTTCTCGGATAGTTTGAAATCTTCCGATATCCTGATCCGGTATCAGATTCGAAAATTTATGATATTCGGATCCGATATCCAAACCGAAAATATCGGATATCCGAACCGAAAATTTTATTTTCAAAGTTTAAGATCCAAAGTTCAGTCCCATGGAAGGATATTAAGGGATTAATATATAAAAGAATTGGCGATTAACAGACTTTTCGAGGGAATTTAAAATTAACAGAAATCTATGTGTAATCAATGTGTGGAAGTTTTATATTTTATCTGATGATTTGTAAGAATTCAGTGGATTTATTAAATACGGGCATTATTTGGAAATTATTCAACATTTGGAGGAGTATTGGAATTATTCGGAGATTCGCAGAGCAAATCAGATTCTTATTCAGAGGAATCGGCTCATTCGACGAGAATACAAATGAAACAATTTCTTAAATATAATTCTAATAAAATGTCATAAACTAGTGAATATTCTAATAATTTAAATAAACTTGTTTAAAATCTATGAAAATATTATAATAATTTAATTTTATTGAGACACTATAAATAAATAGTCTCTTTTTGACATTTTCATCATATGCTAAGTTAATAAGTTCGAAATTTCGATTTGTTCGAAATTTCGATTTTGTCATAGGCAATCATGATTTCGACCCGAGTATTTCGAAACAAGTCTTAGAGATAAAAGGGAGTACAAATCTGACCAAACTACAAAATATTATTTACTAATTATATTAACCAAAGTGCAAATTTAAAATAAGTCGGTGAGAAAATAAATATAAAATAACATAAATACATTTCATAATTTACCGCTTACTTTTATTACCTAATTTATTTAGCCATTTAGGGCATTTTTAAAATTTGCACTTTGTTTGTTTTTTTATTTGTTTATATTTTTACCTACTATATGACTTTCACTCTGTTTGGAAATATTTGGGTGATTCGGAATATTGGTAAATACCGTAAAATATGGCCGAAGTGCGGTTCGGGTTGGGCTTTATTAAATACAAGCAAAAAATAGGAAAAATTAGAGGTAGAAAATCCTAAATAAAATAGCCTATTTTAAAAGGGTATTTTATTTATATTTTAAATAAATTTTAAACAAGTATACCAGAGTCGGTAACAACAAGGATAATAGAGAGTAAAAATTGTAAATTACATAGATAATAATTAGGGAATTGGATATAAATAGGAAGAGAACATCACAAGTTAATTATTCATGTTCAACTTTTGTTTAAATATTGTGGAAGGTATAAGGCATTAATTGAAATAAAAATTCTGAGAAGGTTGAGGAGTGGTAATTGGGATAATGAAGGGAAGGTTGTGTGAAGGATGTTTTCTGTATATAGTGTTCGGGAAGGATAAGTGATGATAACTAAAATGAATTACACACAAATAGGAAATAATAATAAATGAACAATGTGAAGATAGAGAAGAAGGTAGTTACTAGGAAAGAATAGGAGTAATGAATATATTAATAATGAGGAATAATTCAGGGTCAAGACTTACTAATATAGAATAAAAAGTCCGGGACTAACAATAAAATAAATAAACGGGAATTCCTTAAATTTTTTAAATGTTTTTTATATTTATTTTTATTTATTTATTTTTCACTGAATTGATTTTAAAATTGCACTTTTGCCAATTGCCCTTTTAATAAAATTAGTCAATTAAAGATTTGTAGTTTGTTAACTTTTGTATCTTCTAATGCCTTGTGAGTGTCTTAAAATCGCTGACTAAAATTTCGAAACAGTCCAATGCCATTAGGATTTAAGTAAAATACCAAATAATAAAATTATAGGCTCTCATCATTAATTAAATTATTATAACAAATACACCGGATTTTAAAAACATTTATTCTAATTATTCCAAATTTTATTGGTTTTTTTTGAGTCGAATTCTATTTACAAATTATTTAGATTTCTGACTTTTGTTTATGAATTTTAGTTTTAAAATTTGCACTTTTTGTCAAATAATGCGGTTAAGATAATTAGTTAAAAACAATTTTTATTTGTTTAAATTTGTACTTCCGCTCTGATTTTAATAGATGTTTTGAAATATTTGGTTGAAATCCTGGATTATACATGTCTAAAATCGAAATTTCGAAAATGCTCTAACGTCTTTAGCATTTAATTAAATATTTCAAAATGCATCCCTATACATATATCTCTCTCTCCTAGAGATTAGTTAATTAATGTTTATTGTAAATTTTTGTAAATTTCAGATGATTAAATTCAATTTTAACATTCTCATTTATTTAATTATATTTTTGAAAATTCAATGCGCCGGGAAACTCATTAACGTTGAAGTGAAAATTATAGATGATTGGGAAGAGAAACGAGAATTTATCTACTTTAAAAATGCTGAAATAAAGGATCGTTTTGCGGTCAAAGCAATTGAAAAAAAATAATCAACATGATGGCTTTAATAAAAATATAGATGGATATTTACGTGCAATTGAATTTAACCCAGATAAAAATATGTTTGAAGTTGAATTCCATCTGATCAATTAAAAAAGAAAATTCTGATTGAAATTACTAATAATGAATTAATTCAAAATTTTCTGCCTGGGTTTGAAAAAATGGTATATTTTTATTAATTGCATTTCAATTCCGAAGTGTCACAACAATCAAGATGCAAAATGAATGGAAATATGCCGCTATAAATTCTCTAATTTGTTTAAATTTAAGGTACTCCGAAATAATAATTTTATTGAAAATAATAATTATTATGAAACTTCAATATTGGACAAGAGTGAAAAGAATTTTAGCTTAATTGAAGAGAGTATAGAAGATTATAAAAACAAACTTTTAAAAAGTTATTGGACAGAAATTAATTTAATTGGATATAAAATTGAATTGTTAGAAAAACAAAAAGTAGAATATCCGAAGGAATTAAAAAGCAACATTATAGAAATTGGAAATAAAATAATTAATTAAATTTTAATCTTTGTCTAATTTTCTTTGACTATAAAATTTTTTTTTGATAATTATAGGCGAAATAATTGAAATAAATAAGCGAATGTGTTTCAATTGTAGTGTTACAAAAACAAAACGGTGGTATAGTGTACTAAAAGAACATTACTTGTGCCAACATTATGGCGACTATAAACGCAAATATGGAAAGTTTAGGTCAAAAGAAATTTGGTTTAACACTACAAAGGTTATCTTTATCAATATTTGGGTCGATTTTTAATAATTCTTAACAAACTCTTTAAATGAAACTTTTTCACAATTCTGAACTTGCTATAAGTTGTTTTGTCCAAACATTGATGACCTGTAGAGACTTCGCGAAATGTAGTTTATGTAATTGAACTTAATATGATTTATTTACCAACGTAAAATAACTTACCATAAAGTAATAAAAACCGATCGTATATATTTACGTTCCTATAAAACACAAAATTTGATCTCACTTTAAAAACTCTTATTTCCGTGAACCTATATGATTAAATAATACATAAATCTTCTTATCTAAGAAAACATTTATATGTTTCAATACTTTTTTCTATAAATATTTAGATAACAACAAAAGATCGAAATTGTTTTATTTGCGATGTTACTCATACATCACATTGGTACCGTTATTCAAAACCAGGACAATATTTGTTTCTACTTGTTACCACAAACAGCATAAAATTAGGAAATCAACTAAAATACGAAAGCAGATGGTTGATTTTGCTTTAAAATTTGGTTTACTTTGATATTATAGATAGAAGTTGAAAGCGGCTATACTTGGGGAAGTCAGACTTCACCCAACAATGAATGGATAAAAATGAGTATATAATAATATAAGCATTGTTATCAAATTTTAATATTTTTTTTACTGCTCAACTTTTTCCTTCCTTTATCAATATTCCTTTCTTGTTTCTAAATTATTTCATTTTTCGATTCCTTTTCATTTAAAATTTTTTTCAACATTCTATTTGAAAAATTTTATAGAAAAAACATTTTAGGGTACTATAATTCGGTCCAGAGTCATTCCTAAATAAGGGAGTAGATCCGTCGAGATTGTTGTCCTAATAAGTGAGTAGATCCGTCGAGACTGTATAAGAACTTTTTATGGTGACACGACTCGGACACAGTGATCCAATTGCACAGTGGACATTTGCACAGTAATTTATGGTTAAGTGGGATTTGTGTCATATTCCACTTGTGTTATATGGGAAAAAATATTATTAATGTATCCTAGTAATAATTAAAGAATTTTTTTTCATTGAAATTACATAAATAAAATTTGAAATAGTTTTAAATTTGTTCAACAAACTCATAAAATTATAGTTTGAAAATCATAAACATTTAAATACTATTTAATCGATTCTTGTACTGTTTAATTTTTATTTGTTTTCTTGTTTATCATATTTTGTTTATCGTAACAACTTTTGCATATATATTGTTCAGGTTTTAGATGACGGTACCACTTTGATGTTTTTGTTGTTCCGCAAGTAAAACATTTTCGATCTTTCGTGATTCGCTAAAATATTTACAAAAATGGGAGTTGAAACTAGTTCTCAGATAAAATTTTTTAAAGCAATTTTTATAATTTTCAACGAAATGATTATGTCCAGGTTTGCTTCTAACAAACTTGTTTGATTTTGTTGAAGTTTACATTTCCTACAAGTGTAAAAAGTAATGTTCTTCTTAAGTATCTTGTAGATACTTAAGAAAATATTAAAATTCATATGCATAAACATGATTTCTAATAATTTCTTAAGATGTGCTCGAAACATTTAAAACTACTCATATACTTTTAAAGAGTAATGTTAATCATAAAATGAATAAATTTAAACCATTTTAGTATGACTTCCTTCTGGTCTCATTTTGCCATTATATATTTTGTAATCTTGACATGATTTGCATAAATACTGCCCTTTTAGATATCTATACCATTTTCTGGTAATTGTAATTCTACAATTTAAACATTTTCGTTTATTTCTTTGTATTATTTCTCCTATAATAATAAAAAATAATGAACATATATTTTTAGGATATAAACATATAAAAAATTCAAAAACCATTTACTTATTTCAGTACCGATGTAAATAATTCTACTTTTTAATTCTTCCTTCGGATATTCAACTTTTTGTTGTTCTAACAATTCAATTTTATATCCAATTTCTATATTATTTTCTATATTATTTCCAATTAAGTTAAAATTATTATTCTTTTCACATTTATACAATATTGAAGTTTCATAACAATTATCATTTTCACTAAATTTACTATTTCGGAGTACCTTAAGTTTAACACAAATTAGAGAAATTATAACGACCGATTTCCATTTCCTTGCTGTTAATTTTTGTTTGCTATCTAGTTGTGACACTAACAAATAGCAATGGAAATTCTATTAATCAAAATATACAATTTTTGCAAACCCAGGCATAAAATTTTGAATTATTTCATTATTAGTAATTTCAATTATAATTTTCTTTTTTAATTGATCAGATGGAATATATTTTGAGTTATCAAATAGTTCAACTTCAAACATATTTTTATCTAGATTTAAGTCAATTGGACGCAAATATCCTTCTATATTTTTATTAAAACTATCATGTCGATTATTTTTCTTTTCAATTACTTTCAACACAAAACGATCCTTTATTTCAACATTTTTTAAATAAATAAATTCTCTTTTTTCTTCCCAATCATCTTTGATTTTTAATTCAACATGAATGAGTTTCCCGGCGCATTGAATTTTCAAGTATATAATTAAATACATGAGAATTATAAAATTAAATTTTATCATCTGAAATTTAGAAAGTTAAAGCTTTTTTTTGTTATATCTTTAAAAAAATTTAAGAGAATTTTTAATATTTTTAATCATTTTTCAAATAAAAGGACTAGCAACTTTGGTTAGCCGACTTTAGCGGACCCGTACATGAGGACCGACACTTACGGTCCGTCAATAGGATAAAAATATATCGGCGAATTGAGGTGGATTTGTAATATTAAGAAGGATTTGGAGATATTATTATGGTGTTTATTGGTGAATTTAGAAAGATTACTGGAATTTAAAGGGATATCAGGGGGTAACTGTCAAATTTCTCAATATCCCTCTTAATCAACAATTAGCACTCAAATCCCTCACAATCAAAAATAAACCCTCAAATCCCTCTATATTCCTCTTAAACACCAAAGGAAAATACCGGTTAATCCGTAGACATTAAAATAAACTCTACTCAAATCCACCTAATACCAAAATACAAACACTCTACACAAATCGTTTAAACATCCAAATCCTCTCGATAATTCTGTTAACCACTAAATCCAATCTTAATTTCTAATAATCTCTCCAAATTCCTGCAATTCCTAAATTCTCTAAATTCCTGCATAATCTCTCTAAATTCCATAGATTTTCAGCGCCGTATGCAAAATGTTGGAAAATTTTGGAAAACTACATAAGAAGACACCTTTCTTAAATTTTTTTATTTTGAAATTTTGACATTTAAATTTTGGGGATAAGGGCATCCATTATAATGGATGGCCATATTTTTTCCCCAGATTTTTAAAATTATCAATAGCTGGTATATCGACATTATAGGGATATCGATATTATAGGGCAATTACCTTCAAAAAATTGATGTAAACGAATGCAATATTCACATTACATCTAGCAGACATTACATCTAGCATTACATCTAGCATCCGTAATGATGTTTATTAAAGGGCAATTGCTTATTAAAGGGCAATTTATTAAAGGGCAATTTTATTAAAGGGCAATTGACAAAAAGTGCAATTTTAAAGTCAATTCAATTAAAAATAAATAAATAAATATTCATATAAATAAAACTTTAAATGAATTTCAAAAATTACCGGTTATTTATTATAATGTAAGTCCCGGGCTCATTATTTTATTTTACTAAGTCTTGACCCGGAATTATTTCACATTATTATTTTTATTCAATACACCCATTCTATTCCATTAACAACCTTCTTCACTATTTTCACATTGCCCATTTATTATTTTTTCCTATTTGTGTGTAATTATTTAAGTTACCATCACTTATTCTTCCCGAACACTATAAACAGAAAACATCATTCAATCAACATTTCCTTCCCTTCATTATCCCAATTACCACTCCTCAACCTTCTCAGAATTTTTATTTCAATTAATCCCTTATACCTTCCACAATATGTATTTAACAAATGGTAGAACATAATATAATAAACTTGAGATGTTCTCTTCCTATTTATATCCCAATTCCCTATATATTATCTATGTAATTTACCATTTTTACTCTCTATAATCATTGTTCTGCCGACCCTGGTAAGCTTGCTTAAAATTTAATTAAATAAAATAGCCTTTTAAATAGCCTATTTTTTAATAGGCTTTTTCTACTTAATAAAGCTCAGCCCAAACCGCACTTCGGCCATATTTTACGGTATTTAACAATATTCCGAATCACCCAAA